TGAGCAGGTAATGGATTAGACCACTGGAGTGGTCTGCTCGTCTGAGTTCCTCAAAGGCAGGGACCGGGTGTCTCATTCCTTTCTGTATCCCCCAAAGTGCTTAGGATAGAATAGGCACTCAATAACTGAAGTATAAATGAATAAATGAGCCAAATAGTAACGTGAGCCTTAGAGTGGGAATAGTGACAACAGAAAGATACATATTGGAAGAATATCGCAGAGACAGAAACAAGGGTATCTGCTGACTGATGAAATGTGGCAAGGATAGGGCAGAATCAATAAAGACTGTAAAACTGATAAATACTATGGCATTGCATTACAGGTTTCTGTGAGAACCAAATACAATTATGTTCATGAAAATGCTCTATGAAAAAAAAAGAAGACTGTTTTTTCTGGAATAAAAGCTACTCATCCTGGAAGGATACACTACTATATTTGACCTTGAATATATCTCATCATTTTAAGACATTTATCTTCCTTTTGTGTTCACAAGATTATAAAACCTTTAAGAGTACACAATGTGTCTACTGTTATGAATCACGATAAAACCTTAACTGTTGTCTTAATTAGCACTTTCTCACTCACAGAAGAAACGATTATTGAACCTAATCCATCTATATACCACCAAAATACACACACACACAGATACACAGAAATATATACACACATATAAATACATATACACATACACAACACTGTTTTGTGAATGTAGTCTTAGGCTGTGAACTCCCACAGCACATTTACTTTGCTTTATATTCCCAGGGTGTCTGGCAATGAGTGTTATAGGTACTCAAATATTTGTTGGACTAAAATGAACTGAACTGACAGGAATCTCACAGAGCTTATCAATGATTTCTGGTAGTCTTTATGTTTCCCTCTCCCAGTCTCAGTGCTCTTCTCACTGTTTATTAAATTTATACTGTAAAAGAATGAGATCCTAATATGGTTAAGAAGATAGAAAAAAGGGGACACCTGGGTGGCTCAGTTGGTTAAGCACCAGACTCTTGATTTCAGCTGAGGTCATGATCTCAGCAGCCCCGCATCGGGCTCTGAGCTGGGTGTGGAGCCTGCTTAAGATTCTGTCTCTGCCCCTCCCCACACCCTGCCCCTCTCCCTCTCTAAAAAAAAAACTACACACACCCCTGTGGTTTACAGTCTAGTTTAGAGATTACTAAAGTCAATATCAAAAGCAAAATGAATAGCTTCCTGGTCCTGTTTCCCTTTCCTGGACCTGGATCTTCATATTACAATGCTGAAAAAAGGCAAGTACCAACCATGGAAAAGAAAGGAGGTAAACGTTAGCAAGGTCTTGAACAAAAATGGCCTACAGAAAAGCAAATCAGAGACCCCTTTTATAATACAAAGTCCACAGAATTAAGACTCCCTGGGAATGAATCACTGGAGAGGCTCCAAAGACACCAACCTAACTGGAGTTTTTAACCCCATAAAGAGACATATCCTGGCCATCCATATCAACTCAAGCAAATAGAAGGGCTGGGAGGAAACATGAGTTTCCCCTAAGGACCAAACATGTCCTCCAAATAATTGTAATATTAATAAAATCTTAAGTTGGGAAACACAGAGTACAAAACTATGCCAGATACATATAAATCATATGGAATAGATATAGCTCTTCTTTTCTGTATGCAAGCTGTCCTCTGGCAAAGCACAGTTTAAGCCAAACATGCTAGTCCCAAATCAAAAACATTAACTTTGCTTAAAAAAAAAAAAAAAAAATCAAGAAATGAAAAACAAAAAACTCCTTATCAGGATCACAGAATACTGAAGACCTTCCTAAGGAAGATTTTACAAACATGTTTAAAAACACTTAACAATACTAAAGGCTTCTGAAGAAATGAGCCAGGTAAAGTGTTACTGCTTTTCCTTTCTTGTTGCCAATTTCCCTGTCATACATATAAAGCACTAAAGATGAATCTGCCTTCAACCCTGTTCCCTGAAAGAAGAAAAAGAAAAAAAAAACAAACAAACAAACACAGAAACAGAAACAGAAAAAAAATTTTCTGAGCTACCATTTCACCAAGACTAGCAATATTTGGGGCACCTGGGTGGCTCAGTCAGTTAAGCGTTTGCCTTCGGCTCAGGTTATGATCCCAGGGTCCTGGGATCAAGCCCCAGGTCGATCAAACAAAAGCCTGCTTCTCCCTCTCCCTCTGTCTTCTGCTCCACCTGCTTGTGCTCTATCAAATAAATTCAAAACATCTTAAAAAATAAAAAAAGACTAGCAATATTTAACATGAAGGAATCAGCCCCTTTTTAACTATTCTTTTCATCCTTTGATCCCTTATTACATAGTTGCTTCACACTGACTTAAGACTCAAAGCTTTGGCTGAAATGATAACCAACTTAAAAGATCCCCACACCTAAAAATTATCTACCTTCCCATCCACTGAATCTTCCGTTTCCTCCCTTCTTTAAGGAAGATGGGGTCTCTCCTCCATGGTAACCAAGTGCCCTAATAAAAAATATTTTTAAAAATGTCTTACTGGCTCTTACTTCAATAAGGCTGCCTAAACACACATGATTATCTCTCTTCTGTCCAAATTCCCACTGAAATAACAAGAGAAGAAATGGTTTAAAACTAAATAAAAAACATAACCACACTAGAAAACAAAAAAGGATGCCATTAGCAGACAAGAGTTTTCACAAACTCTAGATCCATGATTCTCAAACATTAGCATGCATCAAAATCATCTATAGGGCTGGTTGAAACACAGATTCGAGCTAATATAACATTGTATGTTGAATACACTTTAATAAAAAATTAAATTAAATCAGGGAAATCCAAATCAAAACCTCAATGAGGTATCACCTCACACCAGTCAGAATGGCTAAAATTAACAAGTCAGGAAATGACAGATGTTGGCGAGGATGTGAAGAAAGGGGAACCCTCCTACACTGTTGGTGAGAATTCAAGCTGGTGCAGCCACTCTGGAAAAGAGTATGGAGGTTCTTCAAAAAGTTGAAAATAGAGCTACCATATGATCCAGCAATTGCACTACTGGGTATTTACCCCAAAGATACAAATGCAGGGATTCGAAAAGGTACGTGCACCCCCATGTTTATAGCAGCAATGGCCACAATAGCCAAACTGTGGAAAAAGCCAAAATGTCCATCGACAGATGAATGGATAAAGAAGATGCGGTATATATACATAATGGAATATTATGCAGCCATCAAAACGAATGAAATCTTGACATTTGCAACAATATGGATGGAACTGGAGGATGTTATGCTGAGCGAAATAAGTCAATCAGAGAAAGACATGTATCATATGACCTCACTGATATGAGGAATTCTTAATCTCAGGAAACAAACTGAGGGTTGCTGGAGTGGTGGGCGTGGGAGGCATGGGGCAGCTTGGTGATAGACATTGGGGAGCACATGTGCTGTGGTGAGCACTGTGAATTGTACAAGACTATTGAATCACAGATCTGTACCTCTGAAACAAATAATACATTATATGTTTAAAAAAAAAAGCAGATGAAGAAGATAGCAGGAGGGGAAGAAAGAAGGGGGGGAAATCGGAGGGGGGAGATGAACCATGAGACGATGGACTCTGAAAAACAAACTGAGGGTTCTAGAGGGGAAGGGGGTGGGAGGATGGGTTAGCCTGGTGATGGGTATTAAAGAAGGCACGTTCTGCATGGAGCACTGGGTGTTATACGCAAATAATGAATCATGGAACACTACATCAAAAACTAATGATGTAATGTATGCTGATTAACATAACATAATAATAAAAAAATAAAATAAATTAAATCAAATTAAAAATAGGTTGTATAAAAAACACACACAGACTGCAGGATTCCACCCTCATGGATTCTGATTCATTAGGTTTAGGATAGGCTCAAGGTTTTGTATGTCTAACAAGTTCCCAGATGATGATGATTCTGCTGGTCTGAGGACCACATTATAAGAACCACCATGCTAAGTAAACAGAGATCACTAAAAGGAACAATTTTTTTATAAATTTTAATTAGCATCCTCAGAGAGATTCAAACGAATGATACAGCCATTGTTTTTCCAGTATTTGTAAAATAACAAAGAGTTCTAGAAACCTGGAAAACATAGAATTCCTGAATTTAAAAATAAAAATCAAAGGGCTAAATAACAACTAAAACCCAACAAAGCAGTGTGGAAAACAGTCTAAGACATCTTCCAAAACATACAGCAAAAGACAAAGAGATGGAGATTATGAGAGACAAATTAACAAGCATAAAGGGTTAATAGCTATCTAATAGGTTTCTGGAGACAGAACAAACATACCACTTAAGTAATCAAGGAAGAAATTTCAAACCTTGATACCGCCTGGCTAATCTCCAACCAGGTAAAAAATTTTAAAGTCAACAAGTGGACGCATATTTGTGACATTTCTAAACTTAAAAGACATAAAGAAAACTCTAAAAGCTTTGAGGGGGAAAAACACAGGTTATTACAAAGCAATATGAATCAGACTAGCATCAAACATTTCATTAGCATGAGAGAAGAAAAAGGAATGTTGTTTACAAGGTTCAGAGATGCAATTATTTTGAACCTGGAATTCTACATCTAGTCAAATCAAATACAAAGGCAAAATAAAGACATCTTTGGAAATTTAAGAACTAAGAAAACTGAACTCCCATCCATATTTATTTCCTACTTCTACTGTGAGAAGTTATCACAGAACTCCAAAATGGGTTTCAATGAGCTAAAATTAAGGTGTTGGCAGAATTACATATCTTTTGGAAGCTCTAAGGAAGAATCCATTTCCTTGCCTTCTCTACCTTCTAAACGCTGCCTGAATTCTTTGACCCCTTCCATTTTCATCATTTTCATTAGATGTACTCAGTACTTATAGCAGATTTCTTAGTTCCTTCAAGAAATGCAAGGGACTACAGCTACACTATATAGCCCCTGACAGAATAAATGAAAAATATGCTCTTTATCATTTCCTTAAAAAACATTTTAATCAATTAATATTTTTATTAATAAACACCTACCGAATCATTCGCTGCTAGTGCAAGTGCAAGGTTCACTGCAAGAAACAAAAAAAGTAATTAAATTTAGTAACTTTCTTCTACTAAAATTCAGTTTGCCTTCTAATATTTTCAATGTAATAACCAAAGCACAGAAATTTTTTAATGTATCTCCTTTACTTATAAAAAACAAAGACATGGAGAGAATACAGAAAGTAAAAAAGACAAAAAAGAGTAACATTCCAACATAAGCAATAGATGCCTGCCCTACAATTAACATTTTAAATGATTCATTTTTATAACCTTTATAATTTTGTTTAAATAATCTACTTAGTTTTTAAAAAACAATGTTACTCGTATATATAGTTCAATTATTTTCAAAAACATTTTGCCTAAAAAATATATACCTTTTAATAAATAAAAATGTATATGATCCTATTGCCTTTTAAAAATAAATGCTGATAGGGCGCCTGGGTGGCTCAGTTGGTTAAGCGACTGCCTTCGGCTCAGGTCATGATCCTGGAGTCCCGGGATCGAGTCCCACATCGGGCTCCCTGCTCAGCAGGGAGTCTGCTTCTCCCTCCGACCCTCTTCCCACTCGTGCTCTCTATCTCTCATTCTCTCTCTCAAATAAATAAATAAAATCTTTAAAAAATAATAATAATAAATAAATAAATGCTGATAATGCAGGAATTCCAAATACCTAACTCACAAATACCAGCGTATGAAAGGCTGGACCACTCTGCAGAGGAAAGGGAAGAGGGTCAAAGGTAAGGCAGTAAAACATGTTCCCAAAACTGCTATTGCTAGTGAATCCTTCTTTACAGAAGGAAAGTAGTCCCAAAACCACCTTGAGCCCAGCAATAGAGATATGCTACATCTGAGATGAAGAGAGGTCCAAAGGTAACAAATTTCCAAGACTGATAAGTAGACTTTCATACTGTGAATCACGTTTATTTAATAGAACAATGTTATAAATGATGCTGAGATTATTTCCTTTAAAGTAGTTAAGAGCAGGGGCACCTGGATGGCTCAGTCGTTAAGCATCTGCCTTTGGCTCAGGTCATGATCCCAGGGTCCTGGGATAGAGCCCCGCATCAGGCTCCCTGTTCAGCGGGAAGCCTGCCTCTCCCCATCCCACTGCCCCTGCTTGTGTTCCCTATCTCACTGTCTCTCTCTGTCAAATAAATAAACAAAATCTTTAAAAAATAACTAAATAAAGTAGTTAAGAGCATAAATTTTCAAAGTAGACCTGGTTTCAAAGTAAATCCTAGTTCTACCACCTTCTATTATATAACCTTGAGTAAGATATTTTACCCCTAAATCTATTTTCCTCCTCTATAAAATGGGGATAATTCCTATTTCATAACTGTTGTGAGAATTAAATGAAATACTGATATAAAGTACTTAGCCTAGGACATGTCACTTGACAAATTAATTTTTATAAATTATCAAATAATTCTGAATTTAAGGTATATCATAGGTTAAACCATCTAACTATTGAGCAGAAACTTTTAAGAGACTACTTCATTTCAGTGTTAGGGTCTTCTCACATTTATACAATGGAATCACAGAGCATGTTTGTATTAACCATGTATCATCATTCTAACTGAAAAAAATTTCTAGCATACATATTCAAATGGGAAGAATTCTGAGATAGTTTGGAACATATATATAGTCCCAAACATGTATATAATGTGTGTGTGTGTGTGTGTGTGTATATATATATATATGTGTGTGTGTGTGCGTGTATATATGAAAGAAATATAATACCAACAGAGTCACACAGAAACAACTTATTTCTAAGACTTATGTATGCAAATAGAGCTGTCAGAAAAAAGTAAAGGCCAGGTCTTTGGGGCAGATGGTTTAATGCTAACAAAAAAAGCAAGGAAGGGGCATTTACTGAAACACCTACTATGTGTCACAACTGCATATTTTCTCATAGATTTTTCTATTTAAATGCTGTCACATTCCAAGACAATAGAAGACCGCTAACCAAATACAAAAACAATGTTTTAAACAAGTACTAGCCTACAGACCCAACAAATTATATTGCATAAAACTCGAAGAACTTAGGGATATCATCATGAAAATATTCTCCATCTTTAACCAGTCCAAGTAATCACAGAGAATGCAAAGGAATTTCCATTACTGAAAACAAATAAATGTACTCTGAATTTTCAAAAAACAAGAAGAGGTGGATTCTACAACCAAAGACTAAAACCTTCTAAATTTTAAAAACAAAATATTAAGTAGATGGATTGTAGGCCCTTAGGAAAGAAAGTAAAAATGTGTAGCATATAGCATTAATTCATTAGGAATAATCACTAATCATTTTTTAATAATAATACAGTTTCAAACAGTAATATTATAGGTCTATTATAACTATAATACTTGGTAAATCTTATTTTCTTCAAAACATCTGAAAAACTCTTCCACAATTACCTTTGGGTCAAAATGAGAAAAAAAATTAAGCTAATAAATTATATAGCTGGATTTGTAGCTGGTTGTACAACCATAAAAGCGCTATACTGGGAAATTACTAAAAATGGCTTTTTAAGTGAAGACACAAGACCTTTAGTCACAGAACTCTGTACTAGCCCTTCTTATTTCAAAATGTCATTGATTTCAATGGAACTGAAGAATTTTAAGGTACATATATCCCCCAACTTTAGGTTAACAGTCTGGGGAAAAAATTGTAATTTAAAAGATCTTGTCAATCTAGAACTACACGAAAATCGACAAATAAAATACAATCGTCATTTTTTAAAAATCTCCTGCAAAAAAGATAGACTAGATAAGACCTGAATTAGCAGCCATTCCTATTGAAATGACTGAAAATTAAATACAAGGCAATAACAAGATAAGAGTGTTTTATGACTCCAGGAGCGCCTGGGTGATGCAGTCAGTTAAGAGACGGGCTCTTGATTTGGGCTCAGGTTGTAATCTCAGGGTTGTGAGGTTGAGCCCTGAGTCGGGCTCTGCACTTACTGCAGAGTCGCTTGCGATTCTCTTTCAGTCTGCCCCTGCTGCTCATGCTCTCTTTCTCTAAAATAAATATATCTTTTTTTAAAAAAAAAGGGGGGTGTTTTGTGACTCCAAATTAATAATATAAGCTACTTCCGTTGTGCAGGATTGGAAGAAGGGAAGTCATTACCCTTTTACATTATTAACCTGTAATAAGAAATTTCTGTGGTTCCTGGGTAGCTCAGTTGGTTAGGCTCTTGATTTTGGCTTGGGTCCTGACCTCAGGGCCCTAGGATAGAGTCTGGCATCAGGCTCCATGCTCAGCAGGGAATCTGCTTGAGGATAATCTCTCTCCTTCTCCCTCTGCCCCTCTCTATCTCTCTATCTCTCTCTCTCAAATAAATAAATCTTTAAAAAATTTTGAAAATTTCTTTTGAAAAATTTGGGGACTATCTGGTTATTAGTCTTGGATGGTAACTCTTTTATATCTGGTGGCATGTCTCCTATGAATCTGAAAGCAGCATTTCAGTCACAATGAAATCTACAATCAATTAAAAAGAGCCACCAAAAACAAATTCTCTGCTCCAGTATTATTATTATAAAAGATATAAAGATTAGATGATATTTTAAACAATGAAAACAATGTTAAACCTTCACAAATTTTCAAATATTTGATCAATGCTGATTTTATGAATGTTGAAAATTATATTATGGTTAAATGAAAAAAGGCCACAATAACATAAAAAGTCTCCTTGCAACTGTGTAGCTATATGTACATTAACAGACTGGAAAAGAATATCAAAGAACAAATAATTTAGTGTTAAAGTTACTAAACGTTTAAGAAATAATAACAGCAACCAAATATTGAGCACTTACTATGTAGGAGACACTGGCCTAAGTGGTTAGCTTATTTAATTTACATGGCCACCCCATGAAAAAGGTTATCGTCATTGCCATTTTACAGTTAAGTAAACTGAAGATCTGATGGGCAATCTGATGGGGAATCTGACCACCTTTTCCTCAGTTAAGGAGTCAAAGACCTGGCTATGCACCAATTTTTTTGAAACTGCTAATCTAAGTTCCTAATCACTACCAACTCCCGACACCACAGAATTTCACAAATAACTCTTTAAAAATCGAAACTATAATTTTAATGCTGTGCACTTGCCAGTTGGCATAAATTCCTAATTGAGATCAGAATATCTTATAATACCTGCTGTAGTAGACTTTCCAACTCCACCTTTTCCAGAAGCCACAACTATAACTTGCTTTACACCTTCTATTGGTTTCTGCTTTGGAAGTCCTCGGGACATGATTTGTGCTCTTCTTTGTTTTAGGGTCTCACTGTCAGCGCCAGATAACTTAAAAAAAAAAAAAAAAGTCTTAAAATAAGCCATCTCTATTATCATTCTGTTAAAGTAAAAATTCGGAGTTTGTAATAGGGCTTTCTTTTCTAGGTTAATTCTGCTGATCTCCATTTGTTAGGTCTTTTGTACCATCTACCTACTGCTATTGATCACAATCGTGGAAATACACTGTTTAAGCTGAAATTTATCTGCCAGGATACGCAGACGTTAAAAATGTAAAGTAAATAAACTGACTCTTTACGGAGTTAAATCCTCCACGTGTTTCCTTCTTTTTAACCTATTTTCTAAATAAACTAAAAGAGAATACAATGCACAAGTCACACATCCATGTTCTAGACATCTGTTTCATGTCCCGCCACGCCTCGGCCTGGTCCTTCTGGGGGCCTGCTTGGAAAGTGGGGACGTCCAGCCAACTGGGGTCTCACTTTGCCGCCGAGTAGGCGGAGGCCCGTTAAGGTCTGAGGCGAGTCCACGGCAAGAGGTTATGCTGGGGCCCCTGGCCGCCCCAGCATCTCCGTCCCTTCCGCCTCCCCCTGTCCAGCAGCACCACGAACCTGGCGCCGACAAACCAACACTCGGCTTCCCGCAAGCGGTACACTGGCCCCGCCACCACCCCGAAGCGATACCCCGCCAAAAATCAACAAACGCTGCCAACACCACATAGCTCGCAACACTGCTTTAAGCCCAGCCCGGAAACCGTCGCGGCCGTCGTAGGGTGATGACGTCACGTAGTAACGCTCGGCTTCCTCTCCCTAGAGACGAGCCGCCTTTGAGTTTCTTCAGCCGGGCAACCCAATTTGTTAATGCAGTCCGGTTCGTAGCCAGGTACAAATATTTTACAGAGTTTAATTAAATGTTTGTGAAGCGTTTTTCACATACCTCATCTGTTTGGCCCTCACAGAAATCCTCGGGTAGGTAGATAGGAGACACCGGTATCCTCTTTTCAGTAGTAAGAAATGAGACTTAAAGTTTAGAGACTTGATTGAAAAGAAGTAGGAAATGGTAGAATTTGGGAAAATGACTCCAGGTTCTCAACTGCGCAGAATATGGTAACTTAAACATTCCCACTGTTAAGAATTTTACCTCCCCCCTACCCCGCCCGCGTGATCTACAATAAGTGTATAATATATATATACATAATCAGAAATAGCTAAATCAGAAAGCAGGTCTAATTAAGCAAGTTTCGCTCAAGAAGAAAGTTAAGTGAGACAAAGCTTGAGGGAGAAGGTGGAATTGATTTTGGTATGAGGAATGAAGTATTCCTACCTCCAAAGCAGATGAGAGCAAAGGAAGTAGCTGTACAAGAGAAAGCTAGAAAGCTGATACAGAAACCCAGACCCAGCAAAAGGATCAGTTAGGGTATAGGTTGACTTACTCTCTCATATTCTCTATAATATTTTCTAAGGTTGATTTTAATTTCTTTTATTTGCTTCTTATTTGTAGAAAATTTGTTGTATAATCATTCAGTTTGTTTTGCTCTACTCTGTTCTTTAATTTTCTTGTCTTTACTACAGCATAACATTTCAATCTCAAATAGTTATTGTAAGGGTTAGATTTTTCCAACAAGTATATTTAATTAAATAAGCTCTGAAAAAAAATTCAGTTCCTTGCTTTTTCTCCCCCAATCTCACATTATTGCTTCCTTTGGCTTATCACTTTCTTGTTTTGCAATATGTTTTCTCAGTTAATTTTATCAATTTTTATCTCCTCAATTTTTATAAATTATAAACCAAAACAATAGGGATAAGGAGAATGACTACCAGAATAATCCATTCACTAAACAAGAAATGCTGAATATCTGTTTCTGTCCAGGTAGCTTTTCAAGTTCTATACTTATAAAGATATTTACTGAGCAACTACTATGCACCAAGTACTACGCTAATCATAGGGTTGTCAACCCTGGACCAGATATAATCCCTCCATTCAAGAACTTTACCAACCAGTGTGAGAGACAGAATAAGTTAACTGACAGTTCAGCATGGTGTAATATGCATAGGAAAAAAGCACTGAGAGTTACAGAATTACAAAGAAGGGGCACCCAAATCATTCAGGGAAGGCTTCTAGAGAGGGTAACATCTAAGTTGAATCCTTAATGTGGGTAATGTGTAGGCATCAGCTGTGAGAAGAGCTAGAGGGTTGTGCAGAGGTAAGAAATGAACTGGTAAGAACTTCAAATGATCTTCAAGGCTTGCAGATAGAGTGTAAGCAGGATGGTGCAGAGATGAGGATGGAAGTTGGCAAAGATGAAGGGTGCATAGATCAAAAAAGACTTAATATATCATTTAAAGGAATTTGGACTTTACCCTAAGGGAACCACAGAAGGGTTTAAAGTGAGAAAATAACATAATTAGATTTGTGTTTTAGAAATACTACTGATTACCAGGTAAAAAAAAATGGTTGGGAGAGGTGTGACCAGAGTTAGGGAGATAGGAGGTTATTGTAGTAATTAATCCAAGAGAAATGTTTGCTTATAAAATAGATAATACCTACTTGTAGGGTTGTTGCAAGGTTAAATTTAAAATAATGCATGTAGAAAATAAATAAATAATAAATAATAAAATAAAATAATGCATGTAGAACACCTATCACAAAGTACACATATTCAATAAATGTTAGCTATTGTGATGCTTATTGGTTATGTAGAGGTTTATGACATGCGCAACTAGATAAATGGCACTGACATTCTCTGAGAGATAACGTAAAGGGAGGAACAAGTAATATCTTTGTTTGTAGAATGAACAAATCATTAACTTGATTTACCCTTTCAGCAGAATAGGATATCAGGAGAATTGTAGAGATGTCCATTATTTCTTCTCCGGCAACCACTGCCACACACACACACACACACACACACACACACACACCCATGGCCCCTTCTCAAAAGAATATTCTCCCTTTGCTCCTAAGAATTTCTAAGCCATTTGACCCCATCCCATGGTCACTAATTGGGTTAAAGATTGACACACAAACCAATTAGATTCTTTCTATTTAAAACTTTAAAATAAGAGATGTTACTCAATCTTAGTTTGCATTGGAACTGGTAAGGCTGAAGGGACTAATTTCTTCTTTGTGCACAGAGAAGCAGAAAAAGCTAATGCCAACAGAGAAGAATAAAGCAGACCATAAGAGATCATGTGTGCAGAGAGGGTGGGGAGAACAATTGCACTGATTCATAATAGCTTTCCCATTCCTGATTCTAGTCCATAGTGAGGTTCAAGCTATACTTCCTATTCGTAGATCCATGAGATATACCTACAGCCATCCAATAAATTCTCTTTCTGCCTTGGCCTAATTTGGATGTGTTTCTATGTACTTATAACTATGGTAAGATATGTTTCATAATATTTATCAAGACTTTTCCCCCTATAACTCCTTGTACCTTACATAGCCCTTTCCCATTTTGATAAACTATGTGGCATCATTTTATGATACATAAAAATATTAGAGAAAAGAAATTATTTTCTTGGTTTTCAATTTTGAAAATTGGGACCTTTAAGGAGAATGGGGAAAGCTCTGGCAAAGATAATACATTTGGGAGAACAACATGATACAAAAACATGATTTCTTACTTATATAAGTTAGAGTTACATTGGCTGCAAGTAGCAGAAAACTCTATCATTGTCTTAAATAAGTAGGGATATATTAGTCTCATGTGAAAAGTTCATTGGTAGACTGTTCAGATCTGATACAGTGGCTCCACTGTGTTATTATGTACCAAATTCATTCTTTTGGTTCCATCATCTTGTTGTCCTTATTTTGTCCTCAAGATGGTGGCTGCACCTCCAGGCATCAAGGCTACGTTCCACACAGGAAAAGAGGAGAATGACAAAGATAAAAATGTTTCTCTAGTATGTTTGCCCTTTTGGCGACGTGGGGGGGTGGGGGGGGTGGGGAAGCTACATACACACCAAACTGGCTAGAACCAGGTCACATGACCACCCCTAAAAGCAAGAGAAGCTGAGAAATCAAGCATTTACATATCTTTAACCTATAGATTAGAGGAAAGCAATGGGAAAAAAAATGATTGGAAATCGATATTGACTAAGCCAACTCAATATCTGTCCTAGAAAGACTATATAAAATTTTGTGGGATTATGGGGAATCAAGACAGTTAGAAGCAGGGGCGCCTGGGTGGCTCAGATGGTTGGGCGTCTGCCTTCGGCTCGGTTCGTGATCCCAGGGTCCTGGGATCGAGTCCCACATCCAGCTCCCTGTTCCTTGGGAGCCTGCTTCTCCCTCTGCTTCTCCCTCTGCTTCTCTCTCTCTTCCTCTGTCTCTCATGAATAAATAAAATCTTAAAAAAAAAAAGACAGTTAGAAGCAAAGTGAGAACTTAGATATTCACAAGTTCTTAAGCCAGATATTGGTAGTTGGATAGCCCAAGAACATTCTCAACCCCCAATTTCCTTGCACCATACAACTATAAATGATAGAAATCCAAATACTTGCTAATCTAGACATAGTTCTTGGCATGTATGGTATAGTTCTGGACAATGTAGTGTAAGGGAAATTTTCTGGGGGGGCTTCTGAGAAAGCTTTTGCTATAAAATAGAACATAACTGATGCTACTCCTTTTTCCCATCTTAACCATGGATGTGACTGACACCTGGAGGTGTGGCCGTCATCTGGTGAACATGAGAAGCACAACAGTGACAGATACAATGACAAAAGCCAACAGCTAAGGGTAATGAAGTGGAAATATATCAGGAAGATGAATTCTTGTTCATATACTTAAGCTATTGCGCCAGTACTGAACTGCATCTCCAGAGCTCTTGTTGTGTGAGATAATTTGTTTTAACCACTGTTGGTTGGGATTTTTGTTATTTGAAGTTAAAATTATCAGTACCTATTACAGATTCGAAGAAAGAACCTGATACACTGTGACTACCTCTCTCCTATTGAATCTCAGTAAAGAGGGGGACATCGGAGCCCCAAATCAGTGTAAGGGATGTAAGAACAACAGAATCAATGCCCCATTACCAATGTAGTGGCAGGACCATAGAATAAAAACAGTTGAGTGTTGTGTGTGGGCAGACAGTCTGAGAGAGCTCCTGCAAGAGTGGTTGAGAGAAAGTTGGTCTTTAAGAGAACTTAAGGTCAAGAATAAGGGAAGACTTGGCAACAATCTGCATGGTTAAGTATGTGGCATCTCAATCAATGCTGGTATAAATAGATAAAGACCTTGAGGATTAGAGGTCACATCACCATGTGGCCATCTGGACACTACATAGGCTTAGTCCTGGTTTCTACCACCCCAAGAGCAATGAATAAATAAGTACTGTTCAAAACAGACAGGATTCTTTTAAATGTCTCCTAACTATGAATAGGGTAATACTTTGTATTATTTTCTAGAAAGCATGTATTTGTGTCTGCTAGATTCCCTCCCTCCACCCCCAAAAAAAAAGATCCTCAGGTGACCACGGACAAGCTGAAAATTCAGATTCCCACACAGAAGCAGTGCCTGCCTCATCCGCTGTCCATAAGCCTCACTTATCAGCTGAGAACATGCTTCATTCCTTTGCTCAACTCACTAAGGAAAAAGAGAGTGTTATGAACAGTTTTCTGTCTCTTAAATATACTAACTAAAGCTTAGAAACTAGTACCAATTCCTTCAGTTTAAGGTTCTTGTCTTCAACTGAACCTTTTATCCTGCGCAAAGGGCTCGCTGAAATGAAAATCTCACCCCATCAATGGACCTGT